CTGGATGTGGCTCTGGGCAGCCTGGGCTGCTGGTTGGTGACCTGCACACAGCAGGGGGTTGGAAATGGATGAGCACTGTGCTCCTTTGCAACCCAGGCTGGGGAGAAACAGCAAGCCAGGCTAGGCTACAAACTAAGGCTCACTTACAGCACAGTAAAGACCTGAAGTTTTAATTGAGAAGAAAGCCAGCGTGAAAACCTCTCAGAGCGATGAGTCTGTGCAGGCTGCAGGTGGAACAGAGGCTGGCAAGGCTGGGAGCAGCCGCGTGCCCCAGAAAGCAGAACCTCTCCATCAAGGAGAACCTAAACAGAGAACAAGGGCCACAGCTTAAGTCTTATTGGTGTACTCAGAGATAAATAAAACTGCGCAGAGCTGCAATGCACTGCACGCTTGTTATTTTAACGGCACTCGCTGCCCGTGTTGTTGTAAGGAAACATTTGGTACTGTTTTGTCAATAAAGCAGAAGTATTATGTCAAACACTGTCATTACGTATGTCAGAAACATCAAAATCATTCAATGCTCCATTCTAAAAACTCCATCAAGATAATAGCTTATGTTGCATGCTTTTCATGAACAGAACAGATTATCATTTCTCAAGTTCAATACACTGACATTTCTCTCTCCTCAGACGCTGGAAACCCATTCTGCTTTTTTGGCAGAAGCCGCCTTTCGCTGTGTTTACTGCAGTTGCCTAGGGGAAATCCTAACACCAATTATCAAAAGCAACACTATTACATTAACAGCCTGCATTAATGGCTCTTTTTTTTTTTAACCCTACGTGGCTCAAAGTGAACACAAACACACATGCACCCTAGAAGCAGATCTGCACTCTCCCTTTTCCAAAAGCCGTGCCAAAGAAAACACTATTATGTTATTTCAGCACCCTCTCACAGATCAGTTTGTAACCTGGAGGTTGTAAATTCAGTAATCAGCATTAAATTAATTGATACAGCAACATCAAGAGTGGCTGCGGTCTGCAGAGCAGACCCAAACCGTTCATTCAAATGCCCCCAGCTCATTCCTCTGTGCTGACCTACGAAGTCAAGATCTGAATGCAACTCTACTGACGAGCCTGCACTCTGCAACAGACAACACCGTGCTATGGAACCAAATGCAGCCACTGAGAGCTGTCTACTGAACTCCTGAAAAGAACAATGGTTTGACAGCTGATACAAGCAATTCCATTTTTCTCATGCAAAAGAACTGTTAAATCCACTACATCATTGCCAGTGGTTGAAATAGAGAAATCTGGAGCTCCCCTCAGTAAGCAGCACTTATGAGTAATTTCAACCTTTCCCTGGGTCTCAAAAGAGCCCATGTGCTACTTTGCTTCAGGAAAATGAAACATTCCTTCCTTAGCTTGACGCTCATTGGCATTAGTTAACAATTTCAGGTTAAATTTACCTTTCCAGTCACGCTGAGCATCCTCAAATTCAGGACAAATAACAGCAATGAACACTACAAGAATATCACGTTTTAATTGCCCTTTTCCTTGCACAAATTGTGCTTTAGTCACCTACACGTGAGCTCCATTACACCAATACAACTTACCAACACTGGTAACCAAGCAGCAGGCAGAGATAAATACATATGGGAACCTAATTTACACAGCCCAGTTACGGGAGTGGAGATGAATGTCTCTCCAACAGTTTTACAGAAGTATTCATTGATATAACACAAGAAAGCCATCCATTACTGCCACTGGGAACCCAACCAACAACTTGTTACAGGCTAACATAGAAATTCCATATTTCTTTTTAATTTTAACACAATGACTGCTAGCATCTGGCACACCCCTTAATATTGTGCAAACATCAATCCATCTCATTCTTTAATTCAGCCAGTGACCTTAATACCAGTTCAGATCTTAATCATCTGGTTGTGTCAGTGCAGCTGGCAACCGTTCTGCTCGACACGGGACCTGCCCAATAAATTATAATGAAAACCCCTTTAGCCAGCGCTTGACAAAGCTTAACCAAAATGCAATTTCCTTCACCTTCTAGATCTTATTTTCATAACAACACCTACACAGCACTCATTCACAGTAACTGAAAAAGTAAGATGAGCACCAGAAGACTTCCAGACCACTTAATGAAAGGCTTTCCCAGTGTTAAAAGGGAAGCACATCACCAAAAACCTTCAGCTACGACACGGGAAGCTGGAAGGAACCCATTCCAACACGTTTCCACCACACAGTTCAAATTCCACACGCGCTGAAGCTCAGCCTGCTCATCCATGAGTTCACAGGGCTGGCACACAAAGCACCAGCAGCACGCACATGTAAAACCACAGCAGGGCAGCAAGGAGACGTTGCAGAGCTCACAAGAATTCTCAAATGAAGCTCTGCATCGAGACTGGAGGCCTCCAGCTGGTCACTCCTCAGTTTCCTTCTCCTTCCCACAGCCATCAACTGCAGAGAACACAAGGTAAGTGCTTAATCCCAACACATGGTAGGTCTGTGCCACGCTCCTGCTCCCACCAGAAGATGCTTCCCCACACTTGAGCTTTTCTTCCCAAAAGTAACTCCTGGAAAGAAATCTGATCAATGCTTTTAAAGACAGTTTAATGGCCGTATCAAGAATAATTCGCCTCAAATCTACCTCCACCCATTTCATAGCAACAAGAAAAAATGCTCAGATTTAAATATTCCTCGCTCTCGCTTCACAAATCTGGAGCTTCAGCTTGTTCTGAACAGCATTACATGACCAAGGTAATTAGGAACAGATTTGCAACATGCATCACGCAGGCAGCACTGGGATATCTGAGCGATTATTTCAAGTTGAAAATGTCAAAGGCGTGCTTTTCAATTTGTACGTTCTCTATGGGCCTTGGGTAGGTGGTAGAGAGCAAGTACAAAGTCATATAACTCACACAGCACCACACAACGTCACGTGGGAAGCAAGTCTCAAGTAATAAACTCTTTACAACTGGTGACACAGGACAACAAAACATTTAATTAAGGATTCCTCCATCATTACTTTAAAATCCAGGCACAGCCCTGCCAGGAACACACCAATTTTGCTTCAGCTAAAAGAAGCCATACTGTTGACACAACAAGACTTTACTGAACAGCAGCTCATTCCAAATTTAAAACACTAAAATACATCTGGCACGCAAATCATAGCATGTCATGAGACTTTTTCTTCTTAAGAAATACCAGGGGAAATTAAGGACAAAATAACTTAAGCTTTCTGGAAAGTCACCAATAAGTAACAGCTGAAACTTTGCACAGAGGGCTCTGCATGATTTTGCCTTCTGCAACAGGATGACGTTTTTCTAATAGCAGAAGCCTTAGCTGCACTTGTCTGGAAAAAAAGCAGCAGAAGATGCTGGGCAGATAGGAGCCCTGTTTGCCCCCTGCAGCACATGGGGCTGCATCGCTGCTCCTGGGACACACGTATGCCTTCTGGAAAACACAACTGAAAGCTCACTTCCAGCAGACAGACATGACACTGGCACATCCACAGAAACCCTTCCGGAAAGTCTTGGCGCTGAAAATCACTGGTTACTGGTTAACTCAAGTCTTAAACTTACCCCAGACTGACAGGACTGCGTTCTGTGGATATATAGCTGTGCTCTCCCCTTTAACAGTTTAAGTGCAACGGCACGGGACAGGCAAGCACAGCCATATGAAGCAACTCTCTCTTGTGGTTACCTCAAACTTGAACCAAGGTCAGACCACAATTTCCGCCAAGACTACTATGAACCCACATAAATGCCTCTACATCAATAAAACCTTACACTCCTCAGTTACTGGCTCTAAATACACACTCTGCTCCCCACACTTCATCCCTGGACACGCTCCGAGCAGCACCAGTGGGCTGAGTGGGCTGGCAGAGCTGGGAAGCAGCTCTTGCTCCAGTCTCACCCCATGTGCTCAGGGTGCAGTGAAGCCCTGGTGCTGCTGCCCAAAGAAGTCATGGGTGCTGCACGGAGACCTTCAAGGCCAGGCTGAATGGAACCCTAGGCAGCCCGAACTGGTGGGGTGCACCCAGCCCACGACACAGGGGTTGGCACTGGATGGGTTTTAAGCTTCCTTCCATCAAGCCATTCTTTGAAGTTCCCTAGGTGAAGCTCTCTGCTGTACCTGTGCTCCAAGGGATGCTCCACCTGCTGAACTGATAGTTTTATGCTTAGAGAAGCAGCAACCTGCAGATCACTGACCGCTTTGATCAGCTCTTAGCACTCAAGGTATAAGTACCATAGTTAAATGCTTCATCCCAGAGACCTTATAAAGATTTTAAAGTGCAAGTAGCATCACAGGCTCCACAACCAGCATTTCTGGTCTGACACGTCCCAGCCACCACCACCAGGGTACCTTCAGTGCCTCGCAGAGTGCAGTCACCCTGACCTCCATCCTACAGCAAACAGGATGGAAAATTTTCCAAGTTCTTCCTGCATCCTAGGGACACACAAACCCCAGCCTGACTCCACCTGCCATTAGCAGCAACTGGCTGGTTAAGTACTTAGTGGAAAGAAGAAGATAATTGAAAGAGCGTGGCTTCTGAGCTCGTGCTCTTAAAAACACCAAGCTCAACCTTTGGAACAGAAGTACAGGACTTACAACACATTTACATCAACGTTCACCTACTCCCTCACATCAGCAGACATTTCCAGCCACCATCACTCATCTTTAGGATTCCAGAGGTCCATACAGAAGGAGGGAGGCCCAGCGCAGCGTGGCACTGGGTCACCCAGTGACCTACATACTGCCAGCCAGCAGCTCAGCTTCCACAGCATAATTGAGCAGGCTGTGCTTCTCTCACCCTGCCATCCCCAAGCACGGGGAATCCACCAAGTGCTTTTTCATTTCCAAGACACACCTAACGTGTTCACCTCAGAACCACGCTGTGCATCTAAGGAGAAAACACAACCAAGCATTTAAAAATGAGCAGTACGGCATAAAGCACCACCCGCTCGCAGCCCGGTGCTCCCAGAGCTGCGTTTCCCTGTCCTCACGCACAAAGGCCCCTTAACACCCAGCCTCAGGAGCAGGCACCTTTGCGGGGGGACCCATCGATGCTCTCCGAGCTGGACTCGATGTCGGCGGCGGCTCTGCGGAGGCTGCTGAAATACGCCCTGGACCTGGAGAAGCTGCCGCGCGGGGAGCGGCCGTGGGGGCCGCCGAAGAGCGTGGAGGCGCCGTCCTTGCGGGCGAAGATACCGCTGAAGAAGCGCAGCAAGCGGTGCTCGTGTGCCACGGGCCCACCGGGCGCGCCCTCCCGCCCCAGGCGTTCTGACAGCCGCTGCAGGTCGCTGTTATCCAGCGTGCGGTTCTTGCTCTTGCTCCGCTCCCAGCGCTCCAGCTCGGAAAGCGGTTCGGCCTTGCTCAGCACCTCACCCACGTCCAGCGTGTTACGCTTCTCGGCGGCGGGCGGCTCCGCGGGCGGAGAGCCGGGCGCCGCGGCCTCCTCGCTCCGCGCGGCCGGCGCCGGGAGGCAGCCGGAGCTGCTGTGCCTCCGCACCCGGCCCGGCGCCCGCGCCCGCAGCAGCTCCGAGCCGCTCCACTGCCTGAAGCTGAAGCTGCGCCGCAGCACGCCCGGCTGCCTCCGCGGGCTGCGCCCCGGACCCGCGGCCTCCGGCCCGGCGGCCTCGGCGGGAGCGGCGCCGGCCTCCTCCCGGTCGCCGGGGTGCCGCGGCCAGCCGAAGGGCGGCTCGGCGAGGGGCCGCGCGCTCCTCCGCGGCACCTTGAGGCGGCCCAGCTCCAGCTGCCCGGTGCTGAGGGTCCTGAAGTTGCGGAAGCCGCGGGGGCTGGGCACGCGGTCCTTCTCCTCGCCGCCCTCCTCCTCCCGCTCCTCGCCCTCCTCCTCTTCCACCAGCAGCAGCCCGGCGCGGGGAAGGCTGCGGGAGCCCGGCTGCCCGCCTCCCCGCCGTCCGCGCCGCGCCGGCTCCGCGCCGCCGTCGGGCCCCAGCAGCTCCTTCTTCACCATGGTCACGGAGATGCGGTAGACGGTCTTCCTCTGCGGGGTGCCCCGCTGCATCCTCTCGGGAGAGGCGGCGGCGGCGGCGGGCGGCTCGCTGCTGTCCAGCAGATACATGGCTGCTTTCAGCCGCGCGGCTCCAGCCCCATGCCGACCGAAGCGCGGATCGGAACTCTGCGGGGCGAGCCCCGCGTCACGCCCCCGCCGCAGCGAGGCTCCCGGCGCTCAGCCGCGGCGTTCCCGCATCGCCGGCTCGGCGCGGGGGGCGGCGCGGCTCACGGCCGTTCACCGCCCGCACGCACCGCCCTGCAGATCGCGACGCGCGCCGCCAGCAGCCAGGTCCGGTTTTCAAAGGATAAGAGCGGCGGCAGCCTTCGGTTTCATTGTTTACGGCGGACCGCGCGTTTGCGTATTTTGCGCCCCTGGGCTGCCTCGTCTTTTCTCGCGGCCGAGTAAATCCGCTTAGCGCCGGCTGCGCGGGCAGGGCGCTGCCAGGGGACGCGGCCGCTCCGCACCGCTGCCGTTCCCGCTCCGGCGGCGGCACCGGGCGGCGGCAGCCCGGCCCCAGCCCAGGAAGCCGCGGCCCCGGCAGCCTCCGGCCGGGCGGCACCAAGAGCCGGGGTGGAGCCACGCTGCCGGGAGCGGAGCGGCCGTTCCGAGCGCCAGGCAGCGGGCCCGGCCCTAAGCTGCAATTCTGCTGTACTAGAGCCGCACAGGGGAAGGCAAATGCTGCCCGGAGCCTCCCGCCGGGCCGCACGGCTGCTGAACTGATGCACGTCCTGACATCTCAGGTGCGGGGCGAACTGAGAGCAACACTGCCTTTTTGACACCGATGAGTCAGAATTAACCCAGCTCTAAAAACAAAGATGAAGGAAAGGGAGAAGGTAACTGATCAGAACTGAAGCCCAATGCTGTCAAGGCAATGATAGGCAGGAAGAGCTTCAGAATAAGGAGAAGAAAAAAAAGCTTTGCCTCAAGCAAAGCAGCCAAGCAGCGTGACCGCAAGACACACACGGCACAAGGGGAGGCGATGTCAAGGTCACTGCCAGCCGGGTGGCTGCGTTCTCACCCCAGACCCCGCACCGGGCGGAGATGCCGCGCTCAGGGTACCACAGGCTGGGACGCACGCGGAGCCGCCGCCCGCTCCACGCCACGTTTTGCAGCAGCCAGGCGCAGGCTCCCCGCTCCCAGCCGAGCCAACCATTTTTCAGCCGCCCTGCACGGCAGAGCCGTGAGGAGCCGCTCCGAGGCACAGACGCAGAGGCACGTTCCTCCAGCTCCGCTCGCAGCCTCGTCCACCCGCTCGTGGCCGCGGTGTAAGGAAAGGATGGACGTGCCGTGGGATGGGAGGCGGGCAGGCTTCTGTTAAGCAAAGCACCTCCTCGGTTCTCCCAAACCCTCTTTTTCCTACCGAGGCTACGCTTTGGTCGCCGTGCTGTTGCCAGCACGGACCTCATGCTGCACCCATCGCAGCGACCCGCCCCCCAGCCACGCCGTGCCCCGAGAGGCTCTGCAACTTTAGCGCAGAGGCAGCCGTGTGCAACCACTGTCCCCATGCAGGAGGATGCCCTGGAATTCAATTCCACGTGGCTGCCAGCCGGGCCACTGACCGCTCACCTACAGCAGAACGCAAAGGGGAGGAAAAGCATCATTAAGGCAGGTCTACTGCCAGCGAGTAACGTTACCGGGAGCCCAGACAAAATGTGGCTTCTGCAGCAGCAGCACCTGATGCTTAGTTTCAGTCCCAAAAACAATGTGATGGGTTTCCCTGTTTCGCTGCAAGCTCAACTCCTGTGAACTCCTGTGTATTTTGCTTATGTGCCCACACTTCACTTTCTTTTTTTGATAACTTCCAGCCATTCAAATCATCATCGTGCTCTTTTCCAACAAACCAATGTCATGGGTTTCAAAGCAAGTTCACCTCTAGATGCACAGTATGATTCCAAGTATGCGTTCCTTTAACAAATTCTTCATGGAAGATGAAATTAGGTCACCTGAACAATTCTCACCCCTATTTTAACGTGATTTCACTTCTCTCTTCTAGAAATATTGCGTTCCATCCGCTGTTTGTCATTACAGATCAGTGCTCAACGAGGAAATGAGAGGAGGCATCTGGATGAGAACAGCATTCTGCTGGAGGGTACTGGCAACACAGAGACCAAACTCCAGGTCTCTCTCAAGCCATGGGGTTATTACATTAAACCACTGATCTGTGTTCTTCTGTCACTATGCACTTGTCCATTAAGATCTGCCCCAATTCACCACAGGCAATTTTTTTGCTAAGACAAAGAACAGAGACATCCCACAAGAGGAGCTACCAGCGAGATGTCAGTACTTCTGTCAATAACAGCCTTACTGTCAGCACAATGGGATCACATTCCTGCCCTGAAAACATTGGGTGCCAAGCAGGAAATGGAAACAAGCTGATGGGATGTGCACCGAAAATGCAACACAACTCTTTGTTACCAGGAGAGAAGGAAAATTGCTCCCAGTTCTCCCTGCAATGCTAATGCTGAGTTACCTGCAGCTCCACCAGCTCTTCTGCAAAAGCAGCAAATTACTGGCCCTCTGCAGCCTTGCTATCTGCTCTGAGATGATCCCAGCATTTGGCTTCCACTTCACATTGTTTTTTATTTGTTTTTTAATCTAGGCTGTCAACCTGTATCGTCTGCCCTTAAGAAATACGAGTTCTATGATTTGCTTCCACACATGCTGGCAACATAACCTACACAATTCTGCTCACCATTCTTTCCAGCTTTAAGACAAGACACAAGTCAGCACTGACACTTCTCAGATACCAACACAGCAAGGCATCCTCTGTTAGTGATGCTCAGAAAGCACAGAAGGCAGCATGAATCACAGAATGGCCTGGGTTGCAAAGGAGCACAGTGCTCACCTAGTTTCAACCCCCTGCTGGGTGCAGGTCGCCAAATAGCAGACCAGGCTGCCCAGAGCCACATCCAGCCCGGCCTTGAATGCCTGCAGGGATGGGGCATCCACAGCCTCCTTGGGCAACCTGTTCCAGTGCCTCACCACCCTCTGGGTGAAAAACTTCCTCCTCATATCCAACCTAAACCTCCCCTGCTTTAGCTTAAAGCCATTCCCCCTAGTCTTATCAGCATCCAAGAGAGGCTGAAGGGACTGCCCTGTTTGTCTGGTGCCCTTCAGCCACAGGTAGGCAAAGATTCCAGAGCTTCCATGAACAAACAAGATAACTCACCTTTTTACACACCCTGTGCTCCCTTATCAGGCTGTTAACAATGAAAGTTCACATACAATGTCACTTCAAAACGGCAGTTTAAGTACACAGTTTGTGAAGGTAAAAGCCACACACAAAAACACACCTCTGTAAGTTCCAAAAACCTTTCTACCTTATTTTGGATATTGCTTTTGTTAAAATTAAGTGCTTTTCAGCCCACTCAGTGCCTTTAACCCTCATCACACCCAGTAAAATATTCCAACAGGCAGCATCAACACACAGTTCCAACTGCTCACACTCAGGACTGACTCCTGCTTGTTACATTTGGTGCAAGAAGCAGGAAAAAAATCTCTCAGGAAATGGGAAAACGTTCCTGCTAGCTATCAAGTGTTACTCATTTTTAGGCAGGCCACTTTTCACCTCCAGTCATTTACATACTTCAAAGAGATTGTACTGCAGTGAGGAAAAAACCTATCAGAACTCAAACTAAAATTTAAGCTAACAAGGGTTGGAAGCATGTGAATTGTTCATTAATGGCACAACCCAATTCAGTACTGAAGACCATAGAATGGCTTGGGTTGGAAGGGACCTCGAGGATCCTGAAGCTCCAATCCCCTGCTGCATGCAGGGCCACCAACCTCCATATTATTTAATACCGGACCAGGCTGCCCAGGGCCCCATCCAACCTGGCCTTGAACACCTCCAGGTTGGGGCATCCACAGCCTCTCTGGGCAAAGGTCAACTTACTCTCTGCATGAAGCCTAGACAGACTTTTTCAAATCCTATAAATCCAGAGGCTTCAGATGGTATGAAAATGCACTAAGATGAGGAATAGGCAACCTCTCAGCTACAGCATCTGTAGCACAGCTATCATTCTCAGTACTGCTGTTCCATACTCCCAGGCCAAAGGGCACTCAGGGAACAGAGGCTTGTGATGCATCTTCTCACAACTTCAAAAGGAAGTGATGTTTCAGATTCAAACTCAAGTCCACTCTGAACACATACCCACACATTTTGTTTACTCTGCACAAACATCTGCATGCTAAGCCTATGATTTGCACAGAATTACACAAGCACCCCTTCTGCTTCCATAAAGGCAGATGGATGGAAATGGCCCAGACCCCTGGCCCTCCAGTTACTGGATTCAATAAGCCACCTGTGCATTACAGAGGACTCGCATTACAAGCTTGCTTAATGCTGTTCTGTAACCGAGCAGATCACGGCATCTGTAGAAGCTGTTTAAAGCCCCCATTTTCAAGCAATCTAGTGCAGTAGAAAAGAATTCAATAGAAAATGAACACAGTAGGGTTTTCAAGCCACTCTAGGGCTAACAGACACAAAGATGTCTGTGGTAGGTATTGAAAGCACCAGACCAAGCCAAGAGGTATGTAAGTGCCTAGAAGTGGTGAAACTGACCATGCAAAGCCAGCAATCCCAAACACTTCAATTCATATATAACTTGCTAAGTCTTTATTTACCCAGCAACTACATCCTATCTCCTAACTCTACCTCCACAGCTTGGCCACTTTCTGCAGCTCCAGCTTGGTCCTGCTGTTCCAAGAGCATCCTGAAGGAGCACAGGAGCCCCTGTGCTGCACCACAGTCCCTTTGGCTTCAGCCAAGTACACAACATGCAGTGGAACCCTTGTGAATTACTTACAGGCTTTGCCTCTCGGAAGCACAGATCTCACTGTGTGAAAATCAGGCCAGTTTTCTCAGCAGCGAAGCAAAGACAGAGGTGAGAAGCAAACTGAGTCATTACAAGCATCCACTTCAATCGTCTCCAGCACTGAGTACATACAGAGCTGCACTGAGACACAGATTTTGCTGCAACATCTGAAGAGGCCAGAGGAGTGACTGTGTGTGTAAAGCTGAGCTATCACAACACAGTTGGCAGCTGTGCTCCAGTGCAGTAGAAAGGTACAACACTCCCCTACTAGAGATGGGCACCATTCCA